TGGCCCCAAGGCATGTGGGATCCTAGCTCCCTGATCAGGGATTGAACCTGTACCCCCTGCAGTGGAAATGCAGGGTCTTAACCACCAGACCTCCAGGAAAGGCCCAATAATAGTATTATACTAATAACTATAACATTAATTATATTAATACAATATGGCTAATAAGTAATATTATATATGTAATAATATACCACCTTGTATATAATAATATAGTATATGTAATAATATTATAGATTATATGTAGTATATAATAATGCTGTATGTTAATATATAATTAATATATTGATATAATACAGTTATTAATATAACTATAATACTATATTATTAATATAATAACTGTATATTAATATATAATAACTCTTTGCAACACAATGGACTGTAGCCTTCCAGGCTCCTCTGTCCATGGGATTCTCCAGGCAAGAATCTTGGAGTGGGCTGCCATTTCCTTCTCCAATATAATAACGAGTTTTACAATAGTAAGTGCTATGCTGTACTTAGTTGCTCAGTCACGTCCAACTCTTTGGGACCCCTTGGACTGCAGCCCGCCAGACTCCTCTGTCCATGGGGATTCTCAGGCAAGAATACTGGAGTGGGTTGCCATGTCCTCCTCCAGGGGATCTTTCCGACCCACAGATTGAACAGACAGAGAAAGACTAATATCATATGATATCACTTATATGTGGAAGCTAAAAAAATGATACAAACGAGCTTATTTATAAAACAGAATTGCAGACATAGAAAACAAACTTATGGCTATCAAGGGGAAAAGTGGGGGAGGGATAAATTAGGAGTTTGGGATTAACAGATACACAACTACTGTATATAAAATAGACCTGCTACATAGCATAGGGAACTATATTCAATATCTTGTTATAACTTATAAAAGAATCTGAAAAAGAATATACAAATATATATAATATGGAATCTCTTTGCCGTACACCTGAAAGGAACACAACATTGTAAATCAACTATATGCCAGTTTTTTTTAAAAAAAAATAAGTAACTAAATAAAAATAAAGCCTGAGAAGGGAGGTCACATGAGCTGCCGGGCTCCACACCAAGAGAAGGCCATTGGACAAGATGGGAAGCTGAGGCAGAAACCTGACGGGGTTGAGTCCACAGTGAGAGTAGGACCCTGGTGGGTACAGCACACACTCTGCTTGGATCAGAGCTGCCAGATGCTGGGGGGCTGCGGAGGCCACAGGTGTGAGTGCCTGGAGGGACAGACCAGGTCGCATTCACCCCCTTCTCACCAAACAATGCAATTTCTGCCTCCTGGCAGTCTCAATAAGTGTGTGCTGAATAAATGAAGCATCTTGAGGAGCTTCTTGCCTATGCAATATAATGCCCCGGAGGTTATAGAAAATGATCCTTTGCCTTTCACCTCTCTGGACTGGAAAGTCACAAGTGAAGGAACTGGTAAGGAGATTCTTCAAAGAAGAACCTCCCTCCATGGTCTGCCCGTCGCATCCCCAGGGGCTTCTCAGCCTGAAAGGGAGGCCCCTGGGCCTTTCCCTCCAGTCCATCCCTTCACCTCCTCTCCATCTTCAGCGCTGTAACCTTCATCTCCTCTAGAAGCGACACCCAGCTTAGGTTCTACTTGAGAAAGCATCTCATTAATTTGAAAGAGAAAATCATTCTTAGTGGCTTGAATTTAATGCGCAAAAATTAAAATTTTGCTGAGGACTTCCCTGGCAGTCCATTGGTTAAGACTCCGCGTGTCCACTGCAGGGGTTACAAGTTCGATCCCTGGTCAGGGGAACTAAGATTCCACATGCCAGCTGGTATAGCCAGAATAAACATGATGAAAAGGCAAATTGTCAGAATGCACCCTCCCCCCAAATAATTTGCAAACCATGTCTTTTGGGGCAGCCTGTTGAGACTATCCTGGGTACCAATCTCCCTCCAGAAACATTCTTTCTGTGGAAAAGTTGAGGGGATCCAAACAGACAACATGTGAGAGCCGAAAGCTCTCTCTGAAGCCTGCTGGAGTAGATCAGGGGACCCCAGTCCACTGGAGGCTCGCTCCTGTTCCCTTCCTTTCAGGCTCCCTTCTGTCGGCCCTGCCCCAACTCCTGGCTCTGAGGCAGCCTCCAAGGAGAAGTAGTGACGGCTCAGTGTCCACCTCCACACCTGCTTCCCGGGACCTTCCCCTCCCAGCCCTGCCAGCCCCGGTCTCCATGGTGACAGCCCTTCCTCTCCCTGGGGGACCGCCATCCCTGCCATCCTCAGGCTTCTCACTCTTGCCCCGGCCCACACCTCCCCCTGGGATGCCCCCTGTGCCCCAGCTTTCTAGGTCCCCTCGCTGATACGAAGCGGGAGCAAGGGGGTGCTCCCACCAGAGGCCTCCCTGTTCACGGGCGTTCCTGGGGCTCAGGCTCTGCTGTGGGGGGCTTGTTCATCTCAACCCCCACCCCCACCCCTGGCTCCCAGCTGACAACCTGGTAATTTTCTCTGATCACACAATCTCTAGCAGCTGTGGTGGCTGTCTTGACACTGTCCTTCTTGCAAGAAAGGTTTTGAGATAAAAGAATGCACTGTGAAATCGTCATCAGAGCCTTGGAGAAGGGGCCTGGGAGAGGACTGGTCTGCTGCCCACGCAGCCTCTCCATCATCCCAGCTCCTCCCTCTCCCCCCCAACCTCCCTGCCGTCTTCCCTTGTCTCTCTCTTCCTCTCCACTCTTTCTCTCCTGCTCATCCCATCCCCTCACCCTCTCGTTCCTTCTCCACTCTCTCCCTCCCTGTCTCCTCTCATCTCTTCCCTCCTTCTCTCTCTCTTGTTTGGTGCCAGAAGCAGTCTAATTACAACAGAGAACTTGAAGAGACAGAAAAAGAAAAAAAAAATCACCCCACCACACAGAGCTGATGAAAATGTCCTATGAAATCTAATTTGTAAAGCTCAAATCAGAATAAAAAGTGTTACTCCCACAATTCAGGGCCAATTTGATTTTTAATGAGATTCCTCAGAGACCCAGCCAAGATCTCATCAAGTTGAAAACCTACTACCTTCCCGCCTTCCACACACTCTCTGCGCCGCGTGGACCTCTGTCTCTGCCCGGCTGCCATCCCCAGTGCTGCTCAGGGACATTCCCCAGTGGCTCCCTGCTCAGGGCTGTCTCTTGCTGACAGCTGGGCCCCAGTTTGGAGGCCCGTGTCCCCAGATGGGCAGCAGCCAATATCCGAGACCTGTGTGGCCACCCCGACTCCCCCAGTGGAGAAGAGCCTGCCCACTAGGCCCTGTTTTCCTCAGCTGTGTATCTGTGTCTGCAGAGTAAGGCGTGGGGAAAAAATACAAGCTTAGAAGTCAAAAACCTCAGATCAAACCCCATTCGTTAGCTGTGTGACCTTGGGCAGGTCACTTTGCCTCTCTGATCTGGGTTTCTTTGGTGTAAAATGGGAGCGGTTCTGTTCTGAATGGCAATCACTAGGTTACAGGAGAGACTGCACGCGAAGTACAGATGGCGCTGCGGGCCGGGAGCTCAGTGGACACCAAGGTCCCATGTCCCGTTGTCCGTTCATCTGTGGCTTCCCAGGACACATAGCTCACAAGACATCCCCTTCTTTAGCAGTCCCTCCAGGTCCAGGCATAGCGATCCGCTCGCTGTAGATGAGAACACGGTCCTTAGAGCCAGAGACTCTTTGATTCACAGCCCAAGGCCCTGCCGCTAGAGACTCCCTGGACAGGCTAGTAGCCTCCAAGCCTCTGGGTGCTGAGTCCCTGTGACACGGGTTGATCAGGCTCCACACGGGTGCTGCGGGCGCGTGACAGCCACGGGAAGGTACACAGGGCCCTTGTGAGTAACTAACACGCGAGGCTTCTGTTCATAGTTATCCCTCCCTTGGGCCTCATGTCCTCATCTGGAAAATGGGGATAAAAACAGCACCGACCTCATAGGTTGTTATGAAGATGAGCATATTAACAAGCTGATAGTTTTAAATCTCAGAACAATGCCTGGTCTATTGTACCTACTGTGGGTGTGTCTGTTCACCTTAGTCATGAACTGGCCAAGGTAGATGGTTCGGGGAGGGGTGTGTGGGGAGGAGTGTGTGGGGAGGGGTGTTTGGGAAGGGGCGGGGTCACACTGATGCTCTGCTTCTGAGTGACAGTGAGGCTGGAGTAGGGTCTGCTGCAGAAAAGACAGGGACAGGAGGACGGGTGGAGACAATGACCTGCTCCCTCAGCCACATCATCTGCCACACTCCACCTGGACCCACTGTGTGCCCCTGGACTCCACCTGGGCCTGCTGTGTGCCCTTGGATTCCACGTGGGCCCACTGTGTGCCCCTGGACTCCACCTGGACCCACTGTGTGCCCCTGGACTCCACCTGGGCCTGCTGTGTGCCCTTGGATTCCACGTGGGCCCACGGTGTAACCTTTAGCTACACCCGAGCCCATTGTGTGACCTCAGGCACGTCACTCCTTTGCTAGGAGCCTCAGTTCATCTGTAAACTGTGGGTAATAACAGCTAACTAGAGTTGCAGTTAATCCTCCATGAATAGCTCCTTTCTTTTTGTCCTGTAGGGCCTGACCCCTTGGGGTGCTGGTCCTAGTCCCATCCTGGAAGCCACTAAAAGGATGATATTATTCCTTGGGTTTCCAGGTTTAATCATAGCTCTCCACCCTCCTCCATGCCCACGGCCCTCTTGAAGCACACCCCCAGAGTGCTTCCGACTGGAGGTCTGTCTCTTGTCTCTGCCCCCATGTGGAAGTAGGTGCCAGAGAGTGTTGTCAGGTGGAAAGGGGAATAGGGTGTCCTGTGGCCCGTTTGGGGCTGGAGGATGGCAAAACCACAGCATGAGTGCATGGGGGTTGATGGGCAGGGAGCCTGCAGCTGTGGCCAGCTCCTGTGAGCGGGTGATGGAGCTGGGGGCAGTGAGGAAGCCACTGCGGAGGCGCTCTGGGGGGCTCTTGTCTCCTGGACCAGTCTGGTCTCTGCTTGTATAGATCAAACAGAAGCCCTTCCAGCAAGTAACTGACCGCCATCCTTGTTTCCTTCCCAGGTCAAGTGTACTCCTTCAGCCAGCAGCCCCAGGATCAGGCCGTGGTGTCGGGGCAGCCGGTGACACTGCTGTGCGCCATCCCTGAATACGATGGCTTCGTTCTGTGGATCAAGGATGGCTTGGCTCTGGGCGTGGGCAGGGACCTCTCAAGTGAGTACCCCCAGGCCTCCCTAGGAAGGCCTGGAACCCACCCCTGCCCTACCCACCCACCCACCCTCCTAGGGAACCCCATCTTCATAGGGGTCTCAGCTTTCATTGTAGATTCCATGAGCAGAGTCAGGCAAGGCAGGCCCTGGTCCAGGATGCATAGGACTCTGAGGGCCCCTCTGACTTTCGGTGGTGAATTACAAGTAAACCCTCCATTCTGGCTGTCAGTCCTAAACCTAACACAGTGTTGGCTTGGAGGGTCCATTCCAAAGTCAAACACATCTCATGTAAAGTCAGATTTCCAGAAGTAAAGCCTTCGTCTTTCTTGATCCCAAATGTATTCCCCACTTAAGACACAACCTGGTTCTTCCCTTCTTCCATCCATTGTTGTTTGTTGCTGTGTTTTTAATTGCTAAGTCGTGTCCGACTGTTTGCCGTCCCCATAGCCTATAGCCCACCAGGCTCCTCTGTCCATGGGATTCTTCAGGCAAGAATACTGGAGTGGGTTGCCATTTCCTTCCATAGGGGATCTTCCCAACACAGAGATTGCCCCCACGTCGCCTACATTGGCGGGCAGATTCTTTTACACTGAGTCACCTTGGAATCCCCCCTTCTATCCATTAAAGGGAACCAAGTAGATTGAAAATGCAAAGAAAGCTGGTAGGGCTTAGAGGTTACCATACGATGGGGAGAAAAGAAAACAAGTGTTTGAAATAAATTCCAGGCCTTGTTCAGCCCACCCAGGCTGGTATTCAGCAAAGATGCACTAGTGGGCTCTGGTGCCTGTTGATGACTGGTGTCTGAGCTGCCTGGTTGGCACCCACGCCCCGTCACCTGTTAATATTGTAAATGTCAACCCTTAAGCCCATACAGATGTCTTTCCAATCCATCCTCTCTCCTGGGAGGAAAAAGACTGAAATCATCTTGGTCACTCACCCATCAGTCATTGCAATTCTCCCCTGGCGATGGTCAGCATATGGCCATTTACTAAGCTTAGCATGAACTGTAAAATGCAGAACAAGGGATGTGGGTGTCCTGCCATCAAGGAATGTCTGGGGGTGGAGGAGAGAAAAATATGTATTCAACTGAGAAGTAGCTTTGCCTCTCTCCTGGTGTACAGCTGCAAGAAAATAAAAATCGAAGTGCACTTGGGAACAGGATGGTTGGGAAATTAATATTTTAAAATGTGAGTTATGTCTTGCCAAAAATGTATATTGAAACATTATAGCAATGGTCAATAGCATCCTGGGGTTTGAGTGCTACAGCCCAGCTGAGCATAGATAAAATACACAATCACATCTCCAAAATATATTGTGCTGCCATAAAATGTAAGTATTATGGGAACCAGCCAATTTCAGGGACTCTGAACTCCCTTACCCGAGAGGGACTGGGGAAATGACACGATCTTCCCCAACCAGAATGGTTCACACTTCACGTGGCTCTGAGCGGGCTCAGCACTGCTGCTGGGTAGGAAGGCTCTCTGGGTTCCTGGTCAGTGGTTTTCAGCTTCAGTCAGGGACTGGGTTCTTGTTGGGTCAGTGGCCAAGAGGAGGCCCCAGGTCACTGTGGATGGTTCCTAGGGTGATCATCGCCAGACAGGTAATTGACCCTCTGGCATCCACTTCCACAAATGACTTTCTGGGACCTGACACTGGGTCTTGCTAAGTGTTAGAGGGCAGCACGCTCTGATGGACTGGGGTCTGCTTCCTCCCCAACCTGACTCCATTAATAGAAAGAAGTCTGGCCCTCTCCTTAAAGAACCAGTGAACTCAGACTCTTAGTAAAATATTTTCTCTGGATTTGATCACTTGTCCCAAAATAGCATCATGACAGTGATGACAACTATATGCTTAATAAACATTGTTTGCTTGCCTGATAAGAAAGTGAGTGTAACAGTGCAGCAAGTATTTGCCAAGCACTAAATATTTTGAGGCCCAGGGTTGTGGGGTTTTGGCCTGCTGCAGCTCTGCCCTCTTCTATTTTAAATACATGGCTCCATCCAGTCTACCAGGAATGAGCCCTAACTGAAGACCTTACTATCTTCCTGGCCACCGAGACTGGAAAAAAAATCAGTCGAAGGAAGTGATTTATAAATACACTCCCTCATATTGATAGAACATTTTTCTTCTAAGAAGCTCAAATTCTTCTCAGACATTATCTCATAAATCTACAATGATCCATGGGTTATAAAAAAACGAAGGCTTTTCCTCTTTTTACTTGGCAGGTAAATAAAGTCACAGCTGAGAAAGAAATTGATTCAAACATATCTCAAGCCCAATGCATAGGAAATAGTGAGAGCAAGAGGAAAAGGAGGCAACAGAGGATGAGACGGTTGGATGGCATCACTGACTCAATGGACATGAGTATGAGATAGTGAAGGACAGGGAAGCCTGGTGTGCTGAAGTCCATGGGGTCACAAAGAATCAGACTCAACTTAGCAACAGAACAACAAATTCATGGGATCCTGACTCCCAACCCCCAAAATGCTTGTACCCTGTCTGCTAAAGACAGGGACCTCACTGGCTACCTTACATCACTGTCATGTTCAATTTTTAATTTATTTGTTTTTAATTGGAGGATAATTGCTTTACAATATTGTGCTGGCTTCTGCCATACATCAACATGAATCTGCCATAGGTATACATATGTCTCCTCCCTCTTCAACCTCCCTCCCACCTCCCAGCCCATCCCGTCCCTCTAGGTTGTCTCAGAGCACCAGATTTGAGCTCCCTGTGTCATTCAGAGTCTAAACTAACATTTATAGACTACTTCCTATGTCAGGTGCTTTATAAAGATAATCCTATCTATTCCTCCCCATAACTCTATGAGGTACTAGCATTGTCCTGTTTTACTGACAAGGAAATGGAAGCACAAAGCAGTTAGAATAACTTGCCCAAGACAGCAGAGTTAGGGACTGATAGAGCTGATGTTAAAACCCAGGCAGTTTGTCTGTAGAACCCAGACTACCCATAATTTTACCTCCCCTGAGAGTAGCAAAAGAGAGTAACGGTACTAGTGGAAGGAGTTAGAACTCACTCTGAATCGGTGATTCTGGGCCTGTGTTTTCCAAAGATGCTGCCAGTCCTCAGAACAGCATCACGACTCGTTGCCTAATTAGGCAAATACAGACAAACCCATCACTGATGTTTTCAGCAGCTTATGAGAGCAGAAGGCGGCTGCTGTTGGCTTGCGAGACTGCAACACACGTGCTCCGGCCAGGATGCCTGCAGGGGACCAGGATCTGGTCAGAAGGCAGCAGGTCAGAGGGGCTGGGGGCCGCCCACCAGCTAGGCTAACAGCAGCTGCAGCGAGATGAGGCTGGACCAGCGCCCACTTCCAGCTCCTCACCGGGCCCTGTGGAGAGCCAGCTTAACTCACCCCAGCTGCTCCCCAAAGCCTAGCAGAGGGCAGGAAGGGCGGGCAGGAGGGGAAGCCGTGCTTTTGGGTCTATAGCTGATGGCCCTGTAGCATCTCCCACCAGGCCTGAACAGCTGTGGAGGGCATGCTGGGGACAATGCTAGCCGTGAAGACCTGAGCCTAACAGGCTCAGCCACACAGGATGCACCCCAAAAGCATACTGGGGAGCCTGGCGGAGGGTCACTGTGCTGCCTCCACTGACCAGGAATGGGTGTCCCTTAACAGCCCACCCCCAGGGAACCCTGCCCTCCCCGCTGGAAGACCTGTGGGTTATGGGGGTAAGAGGGGCCCTGGAGCACCCAAGAAATCTCCTCTGTAGTGTCCCTGATGGGATCATCCTACATCTGCTTGAATACAGCCAGTGACGGGAACCTCACTACCACCTCTGGCAGCCCAGATCTCTGTTGACACCCAGTACATTGCTGACAGTAACCTAAAGTGTGTCCCCACGTTCATTGTGCCCCTTGGTCCAATCCTTAGAAGCTACACAAACACGTCTAACCCCTCCTGAGAGACTGAGAAGAATGTGAGGACAGCTATGGCACATCGCCTGTCTGTTCCTGCCTCTCAAGCCTTAGTTTTCTCTTTAAAAGGCCCAGCGTGCCCAGCTGCCTCCTTCTGAGAACTCACTCTGCCCCAGCGAAGGCCCTTCAGAGAGAGAAGCAGTTTGGGGCTGTCAGAGGGTGGATGGGCCTCTGGAAAGAGAGGAACCCTGTATGTGGGGACACGCAGAGGTCAGGGAAAGGGGTGGGTGGAAAACAGGTCCTGCCGGGAGGACCTAAGGAGATGGAGGCTCCAGCAGCAGTAGAGATGCAGACATAGAGAAGCAGCTTATGGACGCAGTGGGAGGGGAGGAAGGAGAGGGTGAGACAAATGGAGAGAGAGCGTGAGAGCTTATACACTACCGTATGTAGAATAGACAGCCATGGAAATTTGCTGTTATGACTCAGGGAACTCAAACCGGGGCTCTGTAACAACCTAGAGGGGCGGGAAAGGGTGGGAGGTGGGAGGGAGTTTCAAGAGGGAAGGGACATAGGCATAACTATGGCTGATCCATGTTGGTATATGGCAGAAACCAACGCAATATTGTAAAGCAATTATCCTTCAGTTAAAAATAAATAAATTTAAATAAAAGAAGGTCAAGGGCCCAAGACCAGGGACAGAGAGGCTCTGCCCAGCCCAGCAGCCACAACCCCTGATGTATTTCCATTCAACCCACGGAGCAGCAGGAAAACTGCTTAACGATTCACCATTCTCAAGCTTTTATTTATCTATTATTCATCGCCAGTGGTATAAGAGGCCCCCAATTTTTAAGTGTCCTGAGTGTCACCTAAGTGCTTAATCAGGCCCTGGGGTCCCGGGGGGGTCATAGTAAGAATGACCAGAAAAGAGTCACTTAAACGGCTCAAAGTGACCAGAGGTTCCTGGCCTCTGGTGTGTGGGCCTCGGTTTCTACTTCCTGCCCATCTGCAACCAAAGTTTTCCCCCAAAGCCACTCTTGCTCTTTTTCCAGGTATTTTTGTTTCTTCTCTCTCCCTCTGACCCTGTTTTCTCTGTGACTCTGAGCCTGGGTCTCTCTGTCTTTCTGTGTGTGTTTCCTTACCAGGATGTGTGTCTGCTTGGCAAGCCTCAGAGCTGAGCAGGCTGGGTTCCAGAGTGACAACCCGCTGTGTCTGTCCACATTCAGCTCCTTCCCGCTCTAATAATAGCTTCTCCGACATCCCTAAACTTAAAACCTGCAATACCCTTTACACACACGCACACACAGAGACACGCTGTCCTAGCTCCCTGCGGAAGCTCACTTTTGTGCTCCTCACACTGAGATCAGGGCCCTGTGCCATCTCCTCCTGCTCTGCCGGCCCCCTAAGACCAGCCCCCCCAACCCCCCCAACCCGCTCAATGTCCCGCCCACTGTGCCCGTCAGTCATGCCGGCTTCTCCATCCCCGCCCCGCCCCGCTGATACACCTGCCTTCTCCACAGGTTACCCGCAGTATCTGGTGGTAGGGAACCACCTGTCAGGGGAGCATCACTTGAAGATCCTGCGGGCGGAGCTGCAAGACGATGCCGTGTACGAGTGCCAGGCCATCCAGGCCGCCATCCGGTCCCGCCCTGCGCGCCTCACCGTCCTAGGTAAGAACCGTCCCTGCACCCGGCCATGGATGCTCTGGGAAGCAGCCAGGGCTCAGCTCCAGAAATCAGGGGCCAGATTGGAGCGGCCTGCCCACTGGACAATAGGGCTGCTGCCCCACTGTGTCAGTCCCTCCCCACCAAAAGGGGTAAAGTGAACATCCCTGTCCCGGACATCAGAAGGCCAGTGCCCGCCAACCTCTGACTCTGCCCAACTCCAGTGTGTTTGACGGCCGCTGAGGAAGCTAAAGAGGGCTCCTGGGTGCTTGTTTATTCAATCAGGAAGCGTATTCTGTGCATGTGGTCTAAGTTAGGCGCTATGTTTGGTGATGGAGACCCAGAGAAGAAGGGGATGTATCCTTGAGTCCCTTCTTTACAAATTGCCCTCCCCTGGTGCTGACAAAGCCCCATCTAGCCTCCTCCCCCATCAGGCTCTCCTGGTGATTCCAGCATCCACATGGACCACCCTGGCCCTGCTCCTTCCCACCTGGGAATCCCGGCTCTCTGGCGGAGGCCCGGGCTGGCTGCCTACATCGCCCTCAGGAAAACCATTACAGGTTCTTATTGCCACATCACATCTGTGCCCCTGGTCTCTCTTCATCTCGGTTTCTCCGGGGACATCCTCCTGAAGAGGTCCCCACTACTGGACCCAGGCACACCTGCCTGAAGACCAGGGGACGGGCTCAGCTACCCCCTCAACCGCCTCTTCCTCATTTAGAGTTCAGCCCCATCTACTGCCTCCTCTGGCCAGATGTTAGCGAGGAGCCAGGCCTGCTGGGAACCACACCGGCGTACCAGTAATAATACCTCACATTTGCATCGTGCCACAGAGCAACGCTCTCAGCACCTCCACTTACGTTACCTCGCTGTTCCGACGCCGACCTGGGGGACGGGGAAGGTGGCCCCAGGTGAGGATTTGAGGCTCCTAGAAGCAAAGGGCGGATTGGGGGGTGGTGCACAGGCCACCGGACGAGGGAAGTCCACCCCCACGCCCTGGCCCACCACTACCTGCCCCCAGCAGCTGTTGAAAAGTCTGACAACGGGGTCAACAGCTGGGGTGCTGCCTCCTTGCCACCGGGCAGCTGAGACGCACGGCAGCTCAGAGATGAAATATCTAAGAGGGCGTCAGATCTACATGGCCAGCACGCTGGGATACGTCCTGGAGGACCACTCACCCAGCAGGGAGCTTGGCTTCTTGAGACAGGGAGGAGAAACTGGGGGCCAACCTCAGAGACCCCCTTCAACCTCTGAGTCTCCCCCAGAAAGAATGAGAGAAATAAACCTTCTCTGGAGGGTCAGTGAGCTGGGGGGGGTCCCTTGACCAGGAAGTGGCGGGCCCCCTGTTTTAGAGGGAAACTCTGCCACCTGCATCTCTGAGAGGTGGCTGAAATGGGACCCAGACTTCAATTGCTCTGGGGATTGAGGGAAAAGAGAAGGAGGATTTAGTGCCTAATATATTTTCTGATCTTGGAGGATTGCAAAAGGCCAGTATAGATTTGTTAAGCAGAGTTGTAGGATCTTTTTTTTTAAGGAGGACTGGATTCTGTTTTATTTGGGAGTGGGGGATGGGGAGTGCTGCGCTGTCTTTGTTGCTACGCACGGGCTTTCTCTAGTTGCGTCGAATGGGGGCTGCTCTTCATTGCCGTGTGCAGGATTTTTATTGTGGCGGCTTCTCTTGTTGTGGAGCACAGGCTCTAAGGGGTGTGGACTTCAGTAGTTGTGGCACAAGGGGGTTAGTTGCTTCGTGGCATGTGGAATCTTCCCAGACCATGGATGGAACCGGAGTGCCCTGCATTGGCAGGCAGATTCTTAAGCACTGGGCCACCAGGGAAGTCCTGGGGTCGTTACATCTTTATCTCCAGAGGTTTTATAGCCCCATGCTCCACTCTTGGACCCCTTCTAGAGGGTGAAAGTGAAAGTCACTCAGTCATGTCCGACTCTTTGCGACCCCATGGAGTCCATGGAATTCTCCAGGCCAGAATACTGGAGTGGTTATCCTTTCCCTTCTCCAGGGGATCTTCCCAACCCAGGGATTGAACCCCCATCTCCCACATTGTGGGCGGATTCTTTACCAACTGAGCTATTAGGGAAACCCTTCTAGAGAGATGCTAAACTGAGACCGCCCCGAGCAGTGCCCACTCCTGACTTCACACAGGCCTTAAAACAGGTGGGGACACGTCTGGGCCTTAAGTTGTCGTCCTGGAATCAGAGCTTCACCTGGCCATACCAAGCCACAGTCCCCTTTCGTCTGTACTGTCTCAGCTAGATTGCCAAGTCCAAGTTATCCCAGATATTTTACAGATAAGGAAGTTGAGACTCAGAGAGGCAAAAGCTCTCACGGGATGTCACACAGCTCACTTAACATTCAAAACAGACCCCAGAGTTTCCAGCTGCAAACCAGTGCTCTCTGCCCAGTGTCCACATTTCTAAATGCCAGTAGGACTGCCTCTGTCTGGTTGGTGAAGAGCCAGGCTTCCGCGAGCAGGGCCTCAGGGTCTGATCTGAACAGACTTAATTTTGTCTTGGGTCACATCTAGAAGGCCTTCAGCCCCCCATCTCCCTCTCCACTGGCCTGACCTGGCACTGCCTTCTGAGCTGAGCTGGTTAGTGGGGGGAGATGTTTTGTGAGTCGGGAGATCAGCTGAGGAGGGGGAAGGCGGAGTTTCCAGGAGACCCCAGCAGGATGGCCTGGGTGGAATTCCTAAGGCCAGAAAGGGAGCCTAAGCTGGCGTTTGTCCATCAGCCTTTCACACAGACCACACCACCACTCCTCCAGCTTCCTCAGACTCTGCCACAGTCTCCCCTGACTCCTCAAGGGCACCCTAGATCCCCACCTCTCACCTGTCCATGTATGTCCCCAGTCCTGAATGGTCCTGTGGGTCTCCACTCTAAAGCTAGTCCTAAGGGCCCCCTCCCTGAGCTGGCCCTGCAGGGCTCTGGCTGAGTTTCTCTGTGGTACACAGCCCCACCTACTGCCCTGGACGGTGGCCCTGCATGCAGACACTGACCCAGCCTTTTAGAAAGGGAGCCTGGTCTACTCACAGTGGTGGACAGACAGGGCTTCTCCAGTGCCAGTGGAGGAAAGAGGGCTGTTCCTACCCTGGCCAGCCAGCTTACCGACTCAGATTCCATCTGCTTTGCCATGACATCTCAGCCTGGGAATGTCCCAGCCAGATCCCCAAGGCCAGAGGAGGGGGATTCCAAGGGGGACGCTGCCTTCCCTGTGTTCCAGAAATGAGAGAGATTCCTAATTTTGTCTGTATTTGCCTGAGATAGATTTTTAATTAAATAAAGTAAGAGCCTGATTAGAACCTGCAGAAGATGTGAGAGAAGAATCAGATGGTATTTCAGCAAAATTGCAAAGCAAACACTGGCTGGGCCAGAGGGAGACCCCCAGGGGTCTTCCATCAAAACACCAAGTGAGAAGGGCAAATACAAGAGATTATATAGCCAACAGACGTGCATTGTTAAAATACGCATCTGTCGGCAGCCTGCTTGGAGAAGCCAAAGGGCTAGCTCAGAGTCTGCAGTGCTCCAGGGAGGGCCTGGGAACCCGGCCCGGCAGCCAAGCCTAGAGTCACAGACACATTAATTAGCCTTGTGTTTCCAGCTCTCAGATGCAATCAGGTGGGGGAGCAATCAGGTTTGCTCCCCCAGGGAGACGGAGGGAGGGAGACAGAGAGGAAGAAGGGGAAGGAGCAGCTCCTGTAGAGCTGAGCAAGGTAAGGACCGGGCACCCTCCCACCCCCAGACCATCCCTGGAATCATGGTGTCGGCGACAGAGCCACAGGCCCAGAGACAACAGTCATGGTCCTGCCATTAACCAGCTGTGGGCTGGTCACTCAAACACTCTGAGTCTCAGTGTCCTCATCTGTGAAATGATGCACACTCCTGTTTCTCCCACCTGCAGGAACCTCTGTATTGAAAAATACCGAAACCGTCACTGGGCCAGAGGGGTAAGGGAGCAATAGCATTTGATCCTTCTAACTTTGTGAAAGCTGGATGGCAGGAATTTGGGGAGGGGACCCAGAGCAGGAGGACATGGGCACCAAGGATGTGATCAACAAACATTTGCTGAGCACGTATTAGGTGCCAGACACTGGAGACTCATTAGTAAATGAGAGAGAAAAGCTCCCCTGCCTAGCAGAGAGAGAGACAGTCACTACACAGTAAACATTTAGCCAGCACATTGTGCAGGATATCAGGTGATAACACATGCTATGAAAATGAGGGAGCAGAACAAGGTAAGCAGGATTGAAAGTCAGGGGGTGGAGGAGGAGGAGGATTATGGATGTCAAGTTAATTATTAAAAAAGGGATTTTCCCAGGCTTCCTACCCCATTTCCCTCTTCTTCCCGGTTTGTTTTAATATTAACTCTACTGCCTTTTGGTTCCCAGTAGAAACAACGCTTCCTACATCAACATGAATTATTTAATGACGGAGAGTAAGTCAATTCAAATGAAGAGGGCATCTTTAAGATGATGTAAACCCCAAATACTTTGGGGCAGACAAATAAGGTCCAAATGTGTCTTCCCTTCATCTCTGTCTGCAGCTCTTCCAGCTGCGGAGCTCTCAGGTCCGTACATCCACAGGGCCGGCGGCATCCCCCAGTCCCCAGTGCCCTGACCTCTGGGCAGGCGGCTCCAGAGAGAGACGGCGCACAACTCAGGTCCCACAGCAAAGGAAGGCAGAACTGAAATGGCCCAAGAGCGCTGGCTTCTAAAATCATTCTCTCAGAAACCGGTGGTGAGAATGCCACCTGTCACCCTGTCGGGGGTCGGAGGGGGGGGGCAGTCTGAGCAGATATTCAGGGGTGAGGAAGCACCTCCACAGAACAAAGCCCAAGCTCCCTCCGTGACATGCAGGGCCCCCTAAAGTCTGCCCTCAGCTTGCCCTCCAGCCCCTGCTCCCGGATAACAACCAGCTCGCAGCACCCTCCACTCCCCACACCCCTGTGCCTTCACTCACGTGTGCTTCTGCCTGGAATGCCCTTCCCACCTCTC